AACTCCATACCTCATTCGGGTGAGAATGAGTGAGAATTTCCTCTACATAATGTAATATTGTGTCGCTGAGCCTGAAGATTGGTCAGGATTAGTTACCTGCACAGCATTGTAATGCATTCACTGTTATCCCTGCACGAGGCTCCAATGGGTCTCAGCGAGACTCCTCTCCAGAAAGGTGTCATCCGCCTCTGCCTCGCGAGCCCAGGCTGCCGGTGGTGCAAGGAAGCACAGCGTGTCTGAAACAGAGTTGTAGCGCAACAGAGTGTAGGAACACGCAGCAACTGTGGGCGCTTGGCCATTCTGATGCTGAGGTCAATAGTCTTAAGTGAGGAACTTGAAATCTTTCTCGTTTTCAGATCATAGCATGCTCTGTTAAAGTATACTTGCTTGTAGCCTAACCCCAAAGAAGTAAGATGTATAAAAATCAACTATGTTTTTTTAATCTTCTTGGGAGGGGAGGCAGGATTACTTTTGCTAAGTTATGTCTCAGAGTAACCCAGTGTTCACTAGGCAGTTACTCTACTTTTTTATGACATTGAATCCTCTGAAAGAGCTCTACTGTCACCTCTAACTCCTGCCAGTTACTCTTATTCATGCAAATCATAACAGTTTTTATTAACTACCTGACCATTTGAATTAGCACTTTAAATAATAGTTATCTCTATTTACCTGGCTGAGCAGCAGTGAGCAGAGCAAAAAGACTGCCATCGTTTTCCAACAGCGCATCTTCGCAGTGTGAGCTGTCACTGCGACCGTAGGACCAGCCTCGGGGGGAGGAGGTAGGAAGAGCCCCAGATAGAACTTCCCAAGCTTCAGCGAGATTTTTATAGACTTCATTCTCTTATCGTTGCATCAGCTGTCAGTCATTACAGGAACAAAGTTCATTTCGGAGCAAGAGGGAATTACTAAGTTAGCATCTGCTGAAGTGATCTGGTTCAAGGCCTGTCTGTCTAGCTAATGATTTACTCCCCTTCCACTTGTACTTTGTCTGGTCAGGTTACCGGTTGTGCCAACTGTTCCTTTTTTTAAAACCTACCAAAGCGTTACCAGAACTCCACAGTGTAGTTGCAAGCGAAAGGGTGGTTGGCCCAAAGTATTATGGTAAAGATCAAAAGCCATAACCTTATTTAACTTCTGTGACAGTCACAGAGCGTGCAGCTTTGAGTTTGTCAGCTGGGGTAAGTATTGTCTTACCGAGCTCATTTGGAGCAGAGAATCCCGCTTGTGATTCTGCTTCTCGTTCTTGGTACGTGAAAGAATCATGAGGAAGTTACTTAACCTTCCCTTCCACGCACACGGTACTCAAAAAGCAGAGGTAATACTTTTCAGATGGTTTTGGAATGTAAGAAGTATGTTACACATGATAAATAATAGACCCCTTCTTCCAAGGATCCTAACGCGTAGTCAGAGATGATAATCTCTGGACAGCTGATCCCAAAGGTGGAGGCGGCTGCCGCAAGGGCTTTCTGGAGCCGAGCTGCTCCATGTGGCAAGACTACGGTTTCTGTAGATGAGCCATCTCTGCTACGGTCTGCCTCTGTACCGCAGTCCAGCTCCGCATTAGTCTTCCAAAAGGTGCCGACAGCTCCCGCTGATGTGGGTGGGCAGTCTGTAATTAAGAGGAACCTTAATTTTTTTCCCATTGTGAAATGAGATTGCAACAGCCTAGAGAAAAGAACGTTTAAGAGCTAGCTGTCACCTCCCGTCTTCTCTATAACCCTCTCAGTTTACAAACGTTGGGACAAGCGGGAGAAGCGTGTGTCTAAGGTTACCAGTCTGTAAATGGACCTTGCTGGTACTCGCTCCTCCTCCTCATCTGAGAGATCTTGTGCATCTGGCTCCCACATCTGTCCCACGTACGCCGTGTCCGTCCGGTACAAGATTTTTGAGATTGCAGAGTAACATAAAGAGAATACCAACTTATTCGTGCCAAGTATGCGTAGGTTTTGGAGCACACTACGGTTTAAGTTACTTCGAGTCGGAAGGTACTGTACGACATAGCAAACTATGTTTTAGCTAAATTGTGAATTCAAATCCGGCTGTAATAGGCTACTGTTTTCTGTGATTGCTTAGTATGCAGGCGCAAGTGCCAGCGTGGAAGGCGAGTTGCTTAGATTAAGATAATGCCATGTTGTCAGGTTCCTGTCTACAGGTGATTTCCCCTTAGCCCAAACTTACAGGGATTAAATAAAAATCCTTCCCAGCATATTGTCTACAACCACTGTTGGAAAATTTATTCATTTCCCAGGGTTCTTCTTACACTCTTCCTCTGCCCTGCTTGTCTTGCTTCCCTGGGAGGAGGAATCAAAACCCTTCATTATCTCACCTTCCTGGGTCTTACGAAGGGAAGGAAATGGGACAGTAAACCATGGCACATCAAATAGCTGAACTTAAAATTATTTCTTTTACATTTGGCTGTGAATTTCTCAATTGTTTTTCCCATGAAGTTCTTTCTTTACATGCATCCAAGTTCTATACTAGTGCCTAGTGGAAATCGCAGAAATTAGAACAGAGAAAGGAAAACGAGAGGCAGCAGCAGCAGCCGCCTTGACTTCACCTCTGGAGCACAGGATTTGAAATGACAGCTCTTTCAACTCTGAGAGCAGTGCCCCCTGTAAGTCGTCGTTTCTCAGCTTTTTTTGGCTAGGTAAGACTAGTACTTTGTAACGGTATGTCAAAATTGTTGCGTGTCCTTCTGGGTTACTAATAGCGTCAGCATATCCCTTTCGGGCAGCAATCCATTCACTGAACTGGGGGGCGGGGGGTGGGGGGGAGGAAAAAACCTGA